ACGCCACATAGTTGCCAGACGCTGCTTATTTTTTAATATTTGAGCAAGGGCTACATGTCGTATGCGCAATGCTGGCCAACTGCCATATACGCAGCTACTCCTTTCCGTCCTTTGGCCGTCGCCGGTTGTTGTTGGTTGTTTGGCTGCTGCTTACTGCTTACTGCTTACTGGTTGCTGGTTGTTAGTTGTTGCTGGTTGGTTGTTGGCTGTTGCCTGTTGGTTGTTGTGCTGAGACACAGTTGAGCAAATATTTAAGCTTTGTACGTCATTTGCCGGCAATGATAATGTGCTTCATGTTTGCACTGCGGCAAAGGCATGGCAAACTGTTTACCGGCATCGAGAGTGCCAGAGCGTCTCTGGTGGGTGTTGGGCTCTGGAAGCTGAAGCCTGGGAGGCCAGCTAATATGCCATGACTGTTTGCGCATCGGCATTATTGTAAGCTAGAGCTTAGATAGACTTCTAGCTGTTTGCCCAATGCAGCCATTCAGCTTATACAACGCACTTCATTAACAACTCATCAGAAGCACTGAGTTTCTGCTAAATATATGTAGATATTTTCAATAGCTGCCAATTTACATATGCAAAATCTAAACTCTCTCAGCTCGAGCATTGACTACTTAAGAAAATTGCTTGCCATTGCCAGCCACAAAGCAAAATGAAAGTATGCTGCGCGTATATCTATCCATCTGTCTGTGTATGTGTGTCTGTGTGTGGGTGTGTGTGTGTAATAATATTCAAATTGGCAAAATCCATTATGATCGCAAATATTATTTCAACTGCCAGCTAGTCAAGCCAAAAACTCTGATGTACCTAAAATCCAGAGAGTCTCTGCTCGAAATGCTCAGCTCTTGCATCTGCATCCACTTCAAGCCAGAGCGTTTCAAGAGAACTATGTTAAACTCGACGAGAGAGAGAGAAAAAAACACTGAGTAGAGGGTACAGTGAAAACAGCTTTGAAGTAAAACGTTTGCAAAAGAAAATATGAAAGAGAAAAGTAAAGTAAAGTTGTGATGTGGGCCTAAAATAGAACTAGTTATTAATATATAACATCACTAAAAAAGTATAGCAATGCGAGTTCGTGATAGCGTGTTTCCTCTATAGTTCCGCATATGGAATTCAAAGTAAACCAAACTTATAACTGGCAAAAATGGGTTAAAAGTGTTGACAGTTAGACAAAGCGCAAATTATACACTCAGTTGGCCGTTTTGATATGCCATAGGCAGTGCAGTGGGGCGAGATGGAGGCGTGGCATTGGCTCTGATTTGCTTGGCCATAAAAGCTACAAAGTTTGGGCGCTTGGCTTGCAATGCTATTGAAATATTTGCACACGATATTGGCAATCGAGTTAACAGTGGCTGGCAAACATCGAAATCAAAGCCCAAAATTGATGGCACTCACAAGGCGCGGGGACTACGGAGAGACTGGAAGGATGGCATTGGCATACTGACGCGCTAAGATGGCATATTTCAAAATACGGCTAAATTAAATTAAGGCTGTTCCCGGGCACAGAAAAAATTATGTAAATTTAATCAAAATAAGTAGCAGCAGCCGCGGATTGTCAGTGCCTGTCTAAAAGCGGCTTATAACAACAGTCAACTGCGCCAAAAATAACAACAACAACAGCAGCAACAACAACAACAACAATGGAGCAATCCACGCTGATGCTAAGTAGCCGCAATTCCAGCCACATGCTGTCAACGCAGAGAGGCTACAGCAGCATAGCGAAAGTTCTATAAAAGCAAATGGACAACCAAAGCAACAACAACAACAACAACGACGACGACGACGACGACGGAGACTAACTCATAAACAAAAAATAATTTAATGCGGCATTAGTGTATAGCTGGACTTTGAGATACCCTGCAAGTATTAGTGGATATTTAAATATTAATAAAATTCAGAGAAATATTTATTATAATTATTATATTACAAAAGATGAAAACATATATAAAAAAAAAATAAAAAATGAACACATACAAATAATAATTAATATGTTATATATAATATGATTATATTTAAAATCAAATAAATTTTGTGAAAGATATTTAATTACAAATTATAATAATAATAATAATTATAATAAATTACAAAAAATAATAATAATAATAAATAAATTAAGTTAAATTAAATAAGGTAAAAAGTATTAGATAATTTTAAAACATAAGTAAAAACTAGTATTATTTTTAATAAAACTAAATAAAATTATAAAGTTAAAAATATTTAATTATAAAATTGTGTTCTTAAATATTTAGATAAACAAACATACAAATTAAAAAAAAAAAAAAAAAAAAACTGAACATTTTGAATCAATTAAATATATGAATAACCATAGATTAACATAAGAAAGAAAAGAAAAATCTTTCGCCTTTTCTATTTTTAAGTAAATAAAATATTATATTATTTTAAAGCCGATTTCGTCACTCTTAAGTTGCATATACATATACGTATATACCCCATGCTTATGCCTACAGAGTATAACCAGCGAGAATTACGCGTAATAGACAAGCCAGTCGTTGGTGAGGGAGCCATAAACTTCTTGCCGTGGCAATAATAAAAAAATTTTAATGCTTCTTATTGTTTTCAGCAAGTTATCTAACGCTTTTTAGAGGTAATTCAGTGGCCAGCGCCATAAACGTATTTACTATTCGTATTTGCGTACCAGAAAAGAACCCAGCTTGTCTGGGAGACGGGAGCGGGGGCTAAAATTTAATTTGGTATTTGTAATGTGCTGCGTTTCGCCAAAACGCAAGCCGCAGAAAAACATTTGGTAAATTTATGGCACAGACACTAAACAGAAATTACAAAATATGCTCAAGTTAAGCCAAATAATTTGAGGCCATGAAGTCTACACGAAATATTATCTACAATTTTACTATGACACAGAAGAAAGTCTTTCGAAGGAGTTCCAAAAATTATAAATAATTTTGAATTTCAGTTGAAAGTTTATTGCCAATTTAAGGAATCTTATAGAGAGTATTGCTGCATCGACATTCTATGCTAGACTATTTGAAAACTAATTTATGTTTCACACTAAGTACGCCTAGTACCATATATAACATAAATGTAAATGTGTGGGTGTAACTGTGTGTGTGTAAGTTTTGCTCAAAAACTAATGTTGAACAAAGCATTTTTATGGTTGTCCCGCAAAAATGTTCTAATAAATGCAAAGTACATTTTGAAACTCACTCATACAAACATGCAAAGCGGTAGCACACCACTTTTCAACTAAGCACACATACATACTTTCTCTCTCTCTCTCTCTGTCTACCTCACGCATACACATTGGGCCAAAAAACCAAAGCCATTTTGAAGCACATTTTAATAGCATTGTAGAAATTTTTTGCACTTAATTAAGTGTAATTAAATTTTCGTTCGCCTGCTCGCTTATTTTTGGGCTAGTGTGTGTATGAAGAGGGTGAGTGTGTGTGTGTGTGCGTGTGTGTGTGTGAGCAGGGAGGCCGACCGCGGCAAGTGCCTAAAATGTGCGCCGTGTTTTATGCAATGCTTTTCACTTGAACCTGCCAAAGCGCCACGACTCGAGTGCCATTTATGTATGTAACGAAAAGTTGCCATTTTCAGTGTTGCTAAATTCAGACGAGAGCCACGGAGCTCAAGTGTGTTCATCATGTGAATGATGTGCATGATAAAAGTAATTAAACATTAGAGATTTAATGCTACCCAATTGAACATTTAATATGATATGCGAGATAGATGCAAGCGATTGGCAAATAGAATTGATAGAAAATAAAAGTTACGCAAAAAGACATGAGAAGAGAACATATTCTCTTTCCTTTTTTTTTCATAGATTAATTTGAGTTAAACAAATATAAATCTATATTGTTCGCTTGAGATTTTTATATAATATCGAATAGACTCAGCAACTGCTAAATTGCTACAATTTTAAATATTTTATTTATTTTAATTTATTATAATATATATATTAAATTTAAAAAAAAAGAAATTGATTATATTCATATTTATTTATGGAGCAACTACTGACCTACCTTTATAATTATTAATTTTAAAATTGAACTATATATTTTTTTATTTATTTTTATTATTATTTATTATTATTTATTTAAACTGTTTACTGATTTTATAAATTTGTTAAGGCCATTCCATCTATTCAAAACAAAAGCTAAAAACTTTAATGTTTTGTAATATTCAGTCTCGAAAAAAATATTTATATTAATATTATAGTGAGTAAAAAATAGGCATAATTACTGCCGAAACTTAATATATTATACACATATATTTATAAATCCATTCCCTCTCTTTTCATGCCAATAATTCCCAATTCTTGGCAATGATGGAAGCGACTTGACTTTATTCTCTTTATGCCATTATTTTTCTCTTCTAGTATAAATCTAGCTGCTGCTAATTATAATTAGTAACAAGCAAATTGTACACAAAACATTTCATTGGTTGCACAAGCGACCGCCTAAGTGCCACCAAATGATGTGTGGACAAAACTGCAGTGTGGACAGTGTGCACGATGGCCGGCAGCTGGCGGCTGTTGCAGTAAATGTCACAGTTTGAATGGCTACAACTGGGGCGAGCGATGTCAATGCCGTTGGCTGTTGACTCAAGTGCAGCGGCGTCAAGTATACGCCGTGTGCCACGCAGTAAGTGCACTGAGCGGGTCTGTGTGTGTGCGATTGTGTATGTGTATGTGTGAAAGTGTGTGTGTGTGTGTGTGTGTGTGTGTGTCTATCTGCCCGCCGGATGTCATATTGCAAAATTGAATTTTTCGGTGCACAGCACTTTTGTTCCGCCAGCTGTTTGCCTCGTCATCAGTGCAATGATTTTGAATTGTTGACATCAGCAACGTGCGCTATACAGACGATATATGTATATGTATAAGTCTATATCTCTATATATGTATATATCTCTCTATATATATTTATTGCATGCTTAGTGTATATGTCATACGGCTAAGTTACGTTATCAGCTTTATTTGATGTTTAGCAATTTCCTGATTTATCCCTCATGTTATTTCCGCTTTGCATTTGTATGCCCTGACCAGCAAATACACACCGCAACACATGCACACACACAATCGCACAATCGCACACACATATATACGAACGACCATCCACGAAATCAAACATTTTCAAAAGAATACAAAAACCGCAAAAATGATAAGCATTAAAATGAAATTTTACGTTCTCTGCAGCAAGTACAAAGCGTGTGTGCAGTGTGTGTATTAGAGTCTCTCTCTCTCTATCTCTGTGTATGTGTGTGTGTGTGTGTGTATGTATGTGATTACGTGATGTTCAATAGCATTTCCTGCTTAGTCGTTTGCTTACTCGTTGAGCTACTAAAACTCGAATACCGTTGGCCATTTTTGTGGTTTTTGATTTGATTTATATTGATATTGCTATTTATGTTCTTGCCATTGACAAATTATTTGATTAGTTTAAAGAAAACTACTTTTACGTGACATTCAATGTGCCTAAGCATAGAAACATTTTAAATTTTGTTTGAATAAAAAAAATATATATATAAGCATACAAATAAAAGAAAAAAATATTTAATATAATATATATGTGTATATGTGTTCTGTCTTTTATTTGTATACAATATATTAAATTTCAAGCATTTCAAACAAAGTTTTAATATATAATAAAAAAAAGTCAGCAGCATCTTATAGTGCGAAGCTCTTGTGGCTTAGTGAAAATACATATATAACAGGCAAAAGGAGGAGTGGCAGACCTCATGAAAGAAATGTATGTACTTGATCTAATCTTTTGAAATATAATCAATATAATATACATTTTTTAAATATAAGATCTCCAACATATTTATAAATCTTTTAATTTTAATATTTAAAAAATTTTTTTTTCACATTTATTAAAATTAAAATATCATTAATATATATAGATTATGTCAAACATACGTCAAATGTGCCGTTGAACAAATTAATGGACTATCAAAATTCAAGAAAGCAGTAGTAGTAAATGGGCGTGTGGAAATAAATTGAATTTGCGGTTCATCTAGAGGCGTAGACGAGCTAATTATCATTTCAGCCCCAGTCCAAGGCTCCCAACTCCTCCAATTGAATATACGCTTACTACACACATGCGAACGCATAGAGCCACTCACACCACATAATAGGAAAAAGTCGCTGGAGCTCATCACATGGTGGCCAAGTCCTTTTTACTGAATTTTTATGCAAAACATGAACATTTAGTGAAACGTTTTACGAATTTTTAATGAGTCGCCAAACAGAGACCAGGAAGAGGAAGTGCGAAGCAGTGCCATTCAAGTTTTTTGGCTTTGTATGTTGGCTCTTTAGCATTTTACATGTTTTATGAGTTGCGCTATTTCATTTCTCCTTTCCACTTTCCACTTTCTCCTCTCTTTTTATAGTCAACTGCAGGTACGCAATCGGCCTACTCCGCCTCCAGCTGGAGCAAGGTTCGCCTGTGGCAACACGTACGGGTAATCAAATCAGTTGCTGGCTCAACTGCGTGCGTTACATAAATTTGCCAACATTTAGCAGATAATGAGCACAATTAGTTGGCGGACAATGTTGCATGCAAACCGAACAGCAGCAGCAGCAGGAGAAGCAGGAGCAGCAGCAAATGATGTGATAACGCAGAGAGATTCAGTTAAAGTCATGCAAATCATTTGAATTTAATGAATGACAAAATTAAAATATCAAAACATATTACAAATAACACATTTATAATTACAAATATTTTAATATTTTGTTTATTTTAATATAAATAATTTAATAAATTTTTTTGGGTTTTCAAAAAATACATTTAAATATATTTAAATTTATTATTTTTTATATATATTTATTTTATGTTGTTTGAAAATAAATATTGTTTACTAAATATATATTATTACTTATGATTTTTAAATGCAATTCCAAAACATTCAATAGCAACATAAATTCAGTTTAAATATTGCAAGTTTTAATTGGTATTTTATTAATAATAATTTGAAGAAAGTATATTTAAAAAATAAACAATATTCAAAATTAAATTATAACATGTATTTAAACATGTGAACTGACTTATTGTTTGACTTTTTTGTTATTTTTCAGTTCAAAGGATTTTTATTTGCATTCATATATTCAAAGAAAATACATATGTATAAATAAAATTAAACATTTTATAAAGTAAATATACGTATGCTACTTATATTTATATACATATATGAATATATGAATATATATAATATATATATATAATTAATTAATGCATATAATTTAAATATATCAATTGTATTCTTTAAGAAGAGTTTATAATTACATAAGTAAAGTATATATATTTAAATAAAATAGTGATTAACATTATTAAATAGAAAGAGACAAATTATAGAATATTTAACAAAAAGATTATTTTGTAAAGCTTTTAAATATGTAATTAATCATAACACATTATATTTATAGCATTTAGTTCAGAAAATCGTCCAAACATATTCAATCAATTTAGCTCTATTCGTTTTTAATTTCGATTAAGCGCTTTGAATTGAACTCTTGGTGTGATTCTCATTTAACGAATGTCGTTGGGGGAGAAAGAATTGATGCAAATGATCTTACATTCACAATTCACATACGTAATCTTCATATACATAATAAAGACTTTTTGCACCATATATAACAGCAAAGATAGCTGGAAAAATTTCCCTTTATTCACACTAAAAGACAATTGCAGGCATTGAAAGACTTGCAAACTTTGTTATTTTTAATTTTATATTTTCAAACATTTTTCTGTTTATACAATTCCAATCTTTTAAGGCTTTTAATTTAGTAAAACAGAATAAATCTGTACAGTAAATGTTTCATATTTTCTCCCTCACTCTCTCTCTGTCTTTTCTTTTCATTTATTTTTGGATTTTTTTATTTGGTCAACTTGTCGAAACTTTTTATTTTCGACTTAATGCTTTACATTATTCACGGCATATTTAAATATTTAGACTGCCTTAGATGTAGCACTTCTTTGGCACAGCATCTGTTGTCCACTCGAATTGGGCAGTTTGACACCCAGTGTTTGCACAAGGTGGGTTAGAGGTAGGTAGATCTTGGTGCTGCCTTATGCCTTATGGCTTATGCCTGTTCAACCGCCACATTGCAGTTAAGTAAATTATCGTGTTTCATTTGCCAGGCAGCCAACCGAGCGCTGCGCTTCAAGTATTCAGTGCTCATTCGGACCAGGCCAGGGCGGTGGGTGCTGCCAAGCGTGGCAACACTTAGTCACTTGGTTTCAAGAGTAAACACATCTTATAAATTATTCAAAAACGCAAAAAAGCTATTTGCAACACTTTACCGTTAGCGTTACCGTTACCGTTAGCGCCGCCTTGTCACTCGACACCGACTTCCCATTCTCTCTCTCTCTCTCTCTCTCTTTCTTTGTATATATATATATATATTATTCTCCATCTAGCACCCACGCTGGCAACATCTTGACTGGGCTGGCTGGCTGGCCATCGTGTTGCCAGCAAGCTCTCCCAGCTCTGCTTGTCCTGTGCAATCAGTCAAAATGCGGCGCAACATATGCGTGCGGGGGCCGGGGCGTGGCATTCGCCAGGTAAGAGTGCTGCAACGGCAAAAAGGATGACAAATGAAACGTTCAAGTGGCGCTTAAAGCAACAAAAACCAAAACAGAATCAAGAAAAAACCAAGGGACAAGAGCAAAAAAAATATATATACATAAGGCAAGAAGCAGAGAAGCTTTACTCTATTTTCGGTCGAGTTGCTCAGTTTCGCGTGGTCTTAAATCTGACAAAGTGCCGCGGCTTACTACAGCTCGCCGTGGGCCCTGGTAAAATGAAGCCCAAAGACCCGGTAACACCCAGCCAACCAGTCAAAAAAGTTGGCGATGAAAACTTGACTTTGTCAGCTGGCAAAGACTGTGTGGGTGGGTGCGATTGTGTGTATGTGTGTGTGTGTGTGCGAGGGTGGAGTGGAGAGTAAGAGCTATACACAAATATTTAACTTAAGTAAGCGTTTGTAATTAATTTCATCCTTAATGCTGACACTTTCTTGTGCCTTGCAACACTTTTCTCTCCCACTCGCCCTCTCGCTCTCTCTCGCTCTAGAAATCTACCCCGGCCCGAGTTTGCTTTGCCCGCACACCGTTATGGCATAATGAACACGCATTTTAAAATAAAGTCTCTCAGATTTTATTGTATGCGTGCGGCTGCCATGTCAAACTCGCAGTTGTTGGTAGTTTTATGGCGGGGCCAGCCGAAAAATGAAAAGCGACAACAACAAAAAAATGACTGCATAATTTATGTGTCAAGAGTTTGCGGCTACGTTCGCGTCTCTTCTCTCTTCTTTTTTTTTTTTTTGAGAGTAATTGATGTTGCCACCCCGCAATTAACTCCCGCCTGCCAAAGATTTATGCTCTGAGGTTGGCCCAGACGCGCGTGTTTTATGGCGCGTCTTGCCTAAAAGCGTTCTCAATTACACGCAATTAACTGGAACAATTTGCGGCCCAAAAGGCCGGGCGACATATTTACGAATATTGCGTATACGTCATGTGTGACTCAGCGAAGAGGGCGAAGCGTTCAACACATAATATTACAGCATCAGTACAAGTAATGATGTTATTTTAGCTCAGGCAAGTACGTCCGATAACCGAATTTTCTTCTCTATTTATTCAATTCTATTTAAAGAACCATGGGAACTGGATTATATGAAAGCTTAAGCTTTAAATAAAATTTATTCAAATATTTGTTCTCTTATTATATGCGGCCTTGCCGCTTATGGAGATAAGAGTGGAAAATATACAGCTTGCCACGCCCACAGAGGCGAACGTAAGCAGCACAGCCCTTTTCTGTGACAAATCTGAGCTCTTTATGGGTTTTATGCCATGAAATCGTTTCGTATGAATTGAATAACGTTTTGTACATTGTCCGATTTGCTGTCAATCAATAATAGAAATATATATGCCACGGAGACTCCACTTGAAAATCGCACAAATATATGAAATTCAGCGTAACAAAGCAACTCAAGGATATTTAGCTCAAAAAGAAAAAAAAAATGAAATGGAAGACTTCTTCAAGTATCATTCACAAAATATCGCTGCCTGACAACACAGATGACAAAAAAAAATGAAAGTGATGGTGATAGAAACGCCAAATACAAAATACAAATTTGAAGTGGTATATCAACACTTCAGTGACCACTCGACAGAGCTTCCTGAGAATTAAAGCATTGCCGAGGAGCTGTTATATTACTCTTCGGATACTTACAGACGGTAACTGCGCAACATCCGAGTTTAAATAATGGAAATGAAAAAAGATATATTATTATTAAAAAATAAAATAAAACTGTTAACATTAGAGAACAAGAAAGAATAATATTAATTTATAAGAAAGTAGTAAAATACATAAAATAGAAATTAAAACTTGAATGTTTCATTTCAGCTGCCTTAAAGCATTTCAAATGTATCAACATGTTCACTTTAATTATACACTCATACTTCCGTTGGAATATGGTAGAAAACCTCTCTCCTACCTCTTTCCAGCATTCTACATTGTTTTTGCTTGTTTTTTGTTCTTTTGTTTTATAGAATTTTATTACATTTGTTCGACTCTAACTCCACCACAACAACACAAATTGGGTCAACAAATGCAAGCAACAGCAGAGTATGTTCATTCGATTCAATTTTAATTTTTAAATAGCTTTTTACGAATACCCTAGCTATCTCAGTATTTATTTTGAGTGACCTAAACTAAATGCCAGATTCATTGAGAGTTTTGAAGTATTTCATTTATATCGAAATTAATGAAAACTAAATGCAATAATCATCATTTATTATATATTTTACACAGTATATATAACCTCATACAAATAACATATGGCTTCATTATACAATATTTCTTATAATCAATCATTCCATCATAGAGTAATAATCTTTATTATATATTTATAAATTATGTAAACATATTTTTTTTTATAGTATTAACAGCTTATTCTAAAGTTTTCCCAACAGAGTATTACACAGTCGAATATTCTGGTATATTTCAATATCGCTTTGCTTTTGTTTTCTTACCTCATCATATTTTCCTCTGTTATCTCGTGTTAATCTTTGAACATTATTAATCAGACGCGAGGTGGTGATGGGTTTTTCTGTGAATGTATTCCACATATTCGCTTCAAATATGTTCAACTTAAATGGAGTCAGAGATAAAAAAGAACTGGAGAAAATAGTGAATAGGAAACATTTTGGTTTGTTGTTTTTGCCATAGACTTGGGGAAACACATTAATTATTTAAAAACTTTTTTTTTTATATTATCTCAATAACATACTTTTCAGAAGATCATATTTATATATTATAAATATTGAAAATTAATATAATGCAGAGAAAGCCAAGGACAATCGCAGCTAGAAATCTCTTGAAATTGGACTATCAACGGCATTAAAAACAATTATTTGATTAACGTTTAGCATATTTTACAATAAGAATAAATAATTTCTTTTATAAGAGAGTTATGGAGTTTTAAAAATACGCTTAGCCTCATTTATAATTTTATAAATAACTCTTTAATAATTTTAAACAATAATGGATTTATATAGATATATTAGTACAATAAATGTTTTATTATATACTCAATTTTTTTATCTTTTGCTATAACCAAACCTGAACTAAAATTTTATTTTTTAGTAAAAAATTGTAATAAAATAAGCTAAATATAGAAATACAATTCCACCAAAGGAAATTTTTCCATTTAGAATTGTAATGCAAACCGAAAATTGGGCTCACACTGAAATGTCAACTGGCAAATTCAACAAAAATAACCTCGGGCCTCAGACATTGGCTCGAACCGTAAACAAAAATGTCAAATGTAAACTTGATATTTCTATAAAAAATAATTTACAATTATTTTACTTTATTCAGTGTGGTGGTGTTTGTGTGTGTGTGTGTGTGTGTGTGTGTTGACAGCCATTGACTTCAATAATATGATATATGCAAATGAAACTCTCGTCTGGCTTAAACCCCTGCTCCTCCCTTTTTTTTCCCCAAAATTTGATGTGGTATAAAAATCGTTGAAGTAGCGAATTTTCACCAATAGCTGCGATAATAAAAAAAGCCAAAACGATATGCTTGACAAATGCAATATTGGAAAGTATCGCATTTCCTTATTTTTATCGTTTATAGCTGTGTGAGTGTGTGTGTAAGTGTGTCTGTGTGTGTGCATTATGCAATGACATATTGTAAACTGCAAAAAGAGAGAATTTGCTTTGACATATGATATAGCATTTGGTGTCTTGTTGCAATCGCAATTTGCTTTCGAATATCGCTGGGTTTATTAACTTCTTTGAGCTGGCATGTTTAATTAATTGCTGGACTCCAATTAGCATACAGCAGAGAGCAGAGAGCTGAGAGCTGAGTGGAGACGGCAGCAGCGACTGCTTCGGCGGCGGCAGCAAATTGAAATTTCAGAAAATACGCAAATGCAGGCAACTGCAGCCAAATGAAATATGGTCTGAAATGTTTGCTGACTGCCAGGCAAAATGAAACAATTAGCAAGATGTGTGCCTTATCGTCAGGCCAGACACTTACACAGTTTGCTTAACGGCAAAACAAATTAAAATCTGTGAATCGCACACACACACTCACACACAGAGAGAGACTACACAGCTAACTGCAAGCTGATCTCATGCCCCAGACCGTGACTTGTTGGCCTTGCCAATGCTGCTGATGCTGCTGACCGCAAGGTATACGCCCAGATGCTGGCACGTTTTGGCCATCCTGCTGGCCTTAAATATTTACGCAATTTATTTTTGTCTAAACTAATAAGTTCTTGCTGCTGCTGCTGCTGCTGCAGCTGCTGTACTGCAGCTTGTTTTATCTCATAATGAAATACAATACAGTTTGCATAAGTATATAAATATGTATGTATATGTGTGTGAGTGTCTGTGTCTGTGTGTGTGTGTGTGTGTGTGTGCTAGCCTTGCATTTTGATATTTGCGCCTGCATGTGGACTACGATTTATTTGCCAGACTCTGTGGCAGCCAAGATGTTAACATATTCATTGAATCTGAATTAGTTTCGTAGCTCTCTGCTCTCTGCTCTCACAAAGTTGAGCTGCACCTTGAGTTATGACTGCTCCCGGCTCTCTCTCTCTCTCTCTCTCTCTCACTCTCTGACCCAATGGCCTCACCTGCATAATTGTTGAAAACGTAGCTGCAGCATTTTTGTAATTAAAATTTAAGTGCCCAAACTGCAAACAACTTTCGGATAATGATCTGGCGAAGCCATCTAAACAATTTACTGCATCGTATATTTATGATAAAGCTAGCAAAGTAATTTGCTGAATAATTTACGTGCATTTATTTCTTAATTAAAAAGGTCTATTGATTGTTAATTATTTGTTATTAAATAAAACTATGAGTAGTAGAAAGAGACAATTTATAAGCTATTTTATATATATTTATTTTGGATCAACTCAATAATTTATATATCCTAAATTTTATTTTTTAAATTGTTTATTTTTGAAGCATTATTTTACTTATTTATGTATTTTATTTATTTTTAATTACTAAAATTTTTATTTTAATTATATATCATTATTAATTATACGATGGCATATGGCAATTTAAAAATATGTTTTTATAATTCTTTGGGTACTAATACGTTTGTTATTATTATTAATTACTAATTATTTTGAATTCTGAATCTTTTTATTATTATTATAAATATGCGATGTGAATTGGCAATTTAAAAATATTCTTTCTGTATTAAAATTTAATATATTTTAAATATTTTGTTATGATAATCCATTTTTTGAGCATTTGTATAGTATTCTGCCTATCTACATACTTCTTTAGTAATATTAGTTAATATATATATTTTTTAATATATATAACAAACATTATATTAGACCCAGTACTTAGCGTCCCGATGATCAACAATTGAATTTAATAGCCAGACGCTACGTATTTCTTTCCCTTATATACATATGTGGTTTTTTTTTCTCTTTGCGGATCGGTTCGTATTTAACTCTCAGTGCTTCGGGATTACTCAGGTAAGCCGGCGCACCTTATATAAAGAAGCGAGTGAGTTACCAGCCAATACTTCTACCCTCTACATCCCCACTGAGTTCATCCAATAATGAGGGCCTTATGAGGAATCGGCAGCTCTCTACAAACTACATATAACAATCAATAATTTAATAAAAATAAATCTAAAAACTATTACAACAAATTGTTTTATATTTTTTATTTATTATTATATTTTTACAAACAAAAACAACAATACAATTTGACTAATTTATAACAATTAACTATTTAACTATTTTCCTCTTTTGTTCCACATTTTCAACACTTTTTCTTTCTACACCTCATTAACTCTCCGCAGCCCACTCCAGCTTTTGATCAGGGTATTCCAGCCCCAAGCACCCACCTGAGCATCAATCCAATTCCTAAAGGCTGCCACATTCGCATAGACGCCCGGATATTCCTTCTGGGCGCAGCCCAGGCCCCACGAGACAATGCCATAGAGCTTGCCCCGAGCACTGCCCGGCGCGTAGCCAACAAGTGGGCCGCCCGAATCGCCTTGGCAACTATCGTGACCCTCGCGAGCCGCGCAGAGCATGTGCTGGGTGATGGGCAGCACTTTGCCATAGGCGCGCCGACAGACGCCCGGCTCCACATGCGAGACATCCGCATACCGCAGCACCGGTGACACGCCCTCCTCGCCGCCCTCGCTCTGATAGCCCCAGCCGCTGACATGGAGCCGCGTGTCGGCCGTAAGCGTATCCCCGGCGCCGGCCAGGCTCACGGCTTGCAGGGTCTCAGTGTAGTTGAGCTGCGCATTGAGCAGCAGGAGGGCCAGGTCATTATCGTGCGTCTGGCTATTGTAGGCTCCGTGGCGTATAATCTGCCGCAGACTGAGCAGCTCGCCGCCGGTATTGTGCTCAGTGGCGCCCAGGCGCACGCTGTAGTCGAGCTCGGTCCACGGCTCCTCAAAGCAGTGCGCAGCGGTCAGTATGAAGTAATCCCCGATAATGGCACCGCCACAAATATGCTGGCCATTCAGCTGTATGGATGCCTGATAGGGAAAGTCGCGTATATCCGTCGCCTGCCCGCCCACAATGCGTCCATCATATTGGGGCGTGGCACTGCTGATGCTGCTGCTGGTAGCAGCGATTAAAGTGGCCCAAAGCACTGTGACTAGACGCATCTTGCTGCTGTGGAACGTGTTGAAATTGTGCCTACCGGCAAATCGTGTTCATTTCTTTTTATAGAGCGACGCCAGTTTCCGTTTATCAATCACCTTATCTGCGTGTCAACAAACTTTGCCCCAAATACAATACAATACCCCAATATTTCAAGTTCAGCGCCGTCTTATCAACAACTATTTGCACTTACTCATTTCTCTCGGCGTTGGCCGAATCACCTGCCACGAGGCACAGGTGAAGGTTGGCTGAAATAATATCTCTGTGTGCCTTACGAAAATATTGAAATATTTGCTTTAACGAATAACCGAATGCATTTTGCACTGCAAGGTGTGAAATTGTTTATGTTAATTATGTAAGAGGCATTTCGGGAGATTGTGATAATGTTATTATTATTATTATTGTTATGTGTGAGATATGTAGAGCAGGTGTTTCAACAGACCTTCTTAAGTATTTAGCCAAAGTCTTTTTGGCTCCAGGTCAATATTGGTTGCTTTATAAAACAATTTAAATACATGAAACAATTAATGTCAAAGATATTTGTTGCTAGAAATATAAGCTTAAAGTGGGCTAAGCCAATGGCTTAGGTAAATATAGAATTGCTTTAGAGATTTAATTTTCAATTAGAGATTTATATACGATTGTGACAAAGGGAAAAGCTTGTACAGGTATCAAGTTTAAATTGTGAAGAAAATTAACTAAAATTAATAAAGGTAAAGTATCCGACATTAAAATTGCCTTTACTTTTACATTGTCTGAATTCTCTTCATATCAGTATTTATACTCTGAGTATATAATTATGAAATATACAACTACATATATTAAAATACTGTTTTTATTTTATATTTATGTTTATGTTTATTTAAAATCTGAGTATATTATTATAAAATATACCACTACATATATTAAAATAAATTATATTATTTTATATTTATGTATATGAACCCTTTCTAAGCTCATTAACTATTGATTCTGCATTAGCTGGCACACTATTTACAAAAATTCCAAAAAAAATATTATATAATCGTTAAATCATAATAGCCAGATAAGCAAATATCGAAAACGAGCCAAAATATTATCGAAAATTAACTGAGAATTCAATCTGGCACCAATAAGAAATCGAAAATCAATAATACCCAACCCACACATATCTTAGATTTATAGTCGCGGTTAAAAATTTGTATTACATAGCAATAAATAATTATATAGGTGGCATTTGGAGTTGAACTTGTAGTGGGGAGTATGTGTTTTCCCTCTGCTCGTTCCCCTCGAACTGCCTCACGCAGCACAGCAAATGAAGACAAATGGCATTTCGAAATGGAAACCCAAAGGCAACAGTTGTACTCTGCATGGTGATTCCGCAAGTTGTAAATGAAATATGTAGGACCTTCCCATAAGAAAGCAGCCAAATAAGACATGAAATTGTCTTACTTTACTCTTCACAAATATTTCTACAACGGAAATTCGCAGTCTGTCTTCTAAATATTCAATTTATGATATGCGGTTTCTTATTAAATTTCATAGCATACTCTCCGCCGGAGGCAGAGCATAATTGTAGTGGCTAGCTCGGCGGCTTGTTTATTATTGGCATGAATCAATGGACGTGCACGTGAGGCCGGCCACAAAAACCGCAACAGCGACAGTGTGAGGCTACACCGAAAAGTCGGCCGGCCATTTATGCATGTCAGACAGGCAGTCATTCAGGCATTCAGCCATTTAGTCATTTAGTCGGTTAGTCAGTTTTTCAGCCAACAATGCAGTCACTGCTGTCGCTGCGGTTTTCACACGCTTTTTCTCCCCTTCATTTTTTTTTTCATTGGTTGGCAGTTTGCACGCTTTTTGGCCAAATATGCGCAGTTAGCTCTGGTGTTATTTCAATTTGTTTGGCTTTCGCACCGATTCTTTATTTTGGCCAATCGCCCGTGACGCAGGGGCAGTTCAATGAACCAGCTCCCAATCCCTGGCTAAATGCAATTGACAGACTCAATTATCGAAACAGACGCGCCTAAGCCTTTTCTCGCGCAGCCCATTGAAATGGCTTTCGATTCGTCCATAATCTAAATACTCAGCTAATCGGCACACAACAAGCCAATAAATTGGCGTTGGCTTCAAAATGCCATGGGGCTGCCAACGCCCTTCGGGTGTCTGGAAAATAACACGCCTATAAATAAGCATAACTGTCAGCATAACAAAAAACGCCAAATTGCCAAGGCCTATAACAACAACAACCACAAGCAGCAGGAGCGGCAACAACAACAACACTTTGAGCTCCTTAAAAAAAACAACCTTGGCTTAGTAAAAGTCTATGCCAAGTATTAGCACATTTTTACATAATATTGGCGCAGAAGGCGTGGCATATAGACAGGCTAAACAGATATTTGGCACTTTTTCGCTTCTATTTGTTGTTGTTTTTCATGCCGTGTGAACTTCAGCTGCAAAGTTTTTTTTTATTTTTTTGGCGCTAACCTTTTGATAACATGAACATTTTCGCAATCTTCCAACTGTCACAAACACAAAATTCGACTTTTGACACGATTCGCAAAAAATAAAACTTTCACAGAATTTTAAATTTAAATTTGAATTTTCATGCACCCCAAGGCAGCGAAAATTTCAATTTCGTAAACTTGTTAATCGTTGAGCACACAAAATGAATTGTATAAAATAACTGATTAGAAAAATAATGTTGAGTTGAGCGAGAAATGGAAATGTACAAAAAAGAAAACTTGTTGCAACAATTAATTAGTTAAACAATCAGAATAATACAAATCTATTTGCCAATTAAATCATATAGATGTCTTTAATAAACTTTCCTTTAGAAAATAGAAAATCGCGCCCCATTTGTCATGCCTTTGTGTAGCTTTATAAAATACAAATATTTTTAATTATAAATATATATTAAGTAAAAAATGCTATAGCTACATTAATTAGTATTAATTTGAATTATGGAACAACAACAGTTATTTGCAAGCTATTTAATAACTGATTAATATATAGAATTATAATTTTTATTTTAATTTTTTTCATTTGATAAATACATATTTTTAGAACTAAGTATTTGTAAACATTTAATAACAATATTCGAATTATATATACTCATAATTTTTTATTTCAAATGCTGTTATATATTGTTGTATGTTAATAAACTCGCCAAGGGGGTTATTGGACTTGCCCGTATAGCTTTTATAAACATTAAATACAACAAAAGAAATAAATATATATAAAAATTTAATAACTTCTTAGAGCTATGTATATTAGTTACTTCATGCTTAAACAGACAAGAGTACAGCAATAAAAGTCTCTTGCTTCTAACTAAGACTAAGAAGAGCAAGCTCAAATATTCTACTCATTTCATAAACACGTATAAATATGGAGAATAAGCTACAGCAGCCCATTTTTTGTTGCGGCTCCTTGTCTTCGACTCTATAACGCAGTCATCATTAAACTTTGGGCTAGAAGCCAGTATTTATTTTATTTACAATTAGAGAAATCAGATATGCAAAGAATGAATATTTATTTATTTATTCTTCTTAAAATGACTTATATGATGTCCAACGGCAAAGAATGTCCCATTAGATTACGAGTGTGTCCCTATACTCGATCGTTTTGGGGATAGTTGTGAATCTAATGTTCGTTCATGAAGGAGTGAAGGCACTGCTAAAAAATCTGCTATTGTCATTTCAATCAGCTCTATATATAAATAATCTTAAAACAAACACTATAAACACACCCCATTGTATCATTTTTATCTACCTACTTTTATCCCCTTAAAAGTATATATATATATTTTTTTTAGCATATTGCAGCTTATTTTAATATAACTCAAATAGTGACTCTTTCACTAAAATACTTTTTATGTCTTTGCCATAGAATCTACTTGGATTTTCATTGTACAGTGAGCAACTTACGAATGGATTAAAAAACAACTGATTAAGGCAGACGGAGAAGGCAGTGCCAAAGCCGAACAGGACTGCCTTGTAGAGCTGTAACACGCACAAGACAGAGTGCTCCTGCTGCTCCTGCTGCTCCAGCTGCTGCTGCTGCTCGTTGCGCACTAAACACGTCTCGATGTGTTTTCGAGTTTTGTAACTCATTTGCAACTAAACTGAGTTCATTAAAGTTAATTTGAACGTGCAACATCGGCGTGCCACACAACGCAGCGCCCCACGCTGCAACAAAGTGCGGGACGGAGGCTGTGCGGCAACGTCATTCTGGCCACACAATGCACACCTATTGCAGCTAGTCGGTGTGAGCGTGTGTGTGGGTGTGATTGTGGGTGTGTGTGTGTGTGTGTGTGTGTGTGTACGCTCCGTGCTGTCTGCTCGTCCGGGCACGTGGCTTAGCGTCGATAAGTTTGACATTTGCACAACGTAAAATGACAACTGGAAGCCAAGCCGAACGCAAAATGAAAAAGTTGCCATCGGGCTGCGCACATCTCTGACATTTGCATTTGTCTTCCGCAAAAAGCTTTCAAATTAGCGACAGCTCCAGGTCCTACAGCCGCACCTGGTGCTGCTGCTGCTCCTACTCCTGCTCCTGCTGCTGCTCAAACAACTCTCCCTGCTTCATCTGCTGCTGCTGCTCCTCCTGCTGCACAACAACAGCCACTCACGTCGCATCCAGCACGCAAAGAAATATGCAAATAATTAGCAACCAAATGCAAAATTGTATTAACTCTCGCCTTCAGTTTTATGTCCTTACCAAATGTAACAAGAATTTTTTGACGGAACAAACTTTAAATGGTTATTGTTTCATCAAATAAATTTAAAATTTTGCATACATTTCAATAAAAAAAATTAATCAAATACTCAATATTAATAAATTATTGTTTAATAGATTTTGTTTAGGGTTTATTAATAAATTCTTAAAATTATTTTTTTTTAATTCCTATAAAAATATATTTACCAATTTCTAAAAACAAACAAATGCCTATAATATTTATATATTTAATAAATAAATGTTTAAACTTTAAGAAAATATAATAAACATTGTTATATTATTTATTTTAAAAAAGTTGCAAAAT